AGCTCTACTTTGCTGTTGAGTCCACACTAAGGTGTGGGAAGTAACCACCCACAAAAAAAGTCGTTGGCCTGTTAGCATCAACTTCAGAACGTATTAAAATAACTGGTTCTACAAAGAGCGCAAATTTACTGACTCCAGTGCGACATCTCAGTGGCGCGGTTTTCCTCTTGCAGCATATACTCGATGGGATGCTCTGTGAAAGTGGCTTTTACCGAGCACCTTGGATAAGTTCTTCATGCAAAACTGGATGGGACATAAGGTGGTAGTAAAAAGAAAAGATTGATAAATCAAACATTTTTTGATATTTGGACCGGCTGATGGAAATATGAGCAATAAATGGTGGGTTCTGAAAGCCAAAGAAAAGTTGGATCATGGCCGCTTATACGATACCGAGTATCAGATACAGGACCCATCGCGTCATTTTGAAAAGCTACATTCTACCTCACGAGTAGTGACCTTGTGGCAAAATGAATTGCAGGTTAAAGTAATGCTGGGGTAATAGCCTAACCAGACGACCCATACATACGTGAAGAGCATGCGGCAGAAATATCACGTACTGTGACATAACGCGAAGTGAATTTGTTCGACAATGATGGAATGGGCAAGGGAGCGCAGAAGAATGCTTCCCGTGGAGATGTCGACCAGGCAGATCGCTTGTTTGTTGCAGAAAACACTAACGTTAGCTACTCAGATACATTTATTACGCCAGGTTGTGTGATTACACCATTGTATCTATCGGAGACTGGTACAAAGCAGTGAAGCATTCCTCATCAAATAAACTCAGTGGATTAGACAATGTCACCATTGGTTTTGAAGCAATTTGGCACAAAACCCCTCTGCTCCCATCAGCCAGGTCCCCATGTGTCCTTAAAGAGTCACAGACCACAAAAGCATGAGGGACCTCTAGAATAACATCTACACTAAAGTCAATTTTTTATGGTTTCACAAGGTAGCGTCTCGTTTTATCGGTTCAGTCTTGCTTGAGTTGTTAGAAAAGCGGATGCGTACTATCATGCGACCCTTGCAGCGCGCCTCAAGGATGTACATCAGTTCGCCTACAAACCTGAAATATCAACCACGGATGCTGTTGCTTGCATCGAATTTTGGGAGCTCCGGACGTTGTTTTTTATTATTTGTTTCAAGAGACCGTTAGGCATTGGACTATTGCGCTGTTTTTAAGCGCTTGATCCAGTGAATTATCAAATACTGATTGGTGACAACAGGTCAACCTCGGCTGCGACCGAGTGTGGTATGCCCCAAGGAGCCCTCGTATCACCTTACTTACTGCATTGTACATGAGCTCCTTACCCAAGGGTCGATATCATCGATTGACAGGCCTGTTCTGTAGGAGTACATTCTAAGCCGCTCCATCAGGATACGCATACCATCTATCAAAGTATTTCCTCCAACTTGAATCCAGGCAACTGCACCGAACTTCCGTTTACACTCTGCGCCCCAAATATGAATGAAATAGAAACATCGGTCTCCTCAGTCATTATCAAGGATTGCCCTTAAAGCATGTAAAGTGCACTAAATGCCTCAGAGTTAGGTTATTATCCGATCTATCAGTGCACGATCTGGTAGAAGGGGTATTTCTGAAGATCCAGACGACAGTTCGGTTTTTGTAATCTAATCTTCCACTTTTGCCACTGTTCTACGAGGTTTTATCTGACTCAGCTGTTATCAGACACTGGAAAAGAATGCTGCTTTCCTCCGGTAATATATCCCCTATTTGCAACACTGAAACATTGATAAACCGACACATTAAAGCTTATTTAGGTAGTCTCGACGCAATCCTGCACGATCGCCACAATTTCCCACAGGCCGAACTGCGCCACTATCTTCCCAGGTGTCCCTAAAGGTCAATGACGTACTTTTGTACACCTGTCTACAAAAACACCGTAGTCCCTCATTTGGCTCAACTTAAGAGAATAGCAGGTTTGTTGCCATCATTTACCTATTTGGTAAAGCTTTTTCTATACATACTTTTAATAACACGTGCTCTTTTTTAAAATTCACTGAACCCATCACCCGCAAATTGGCAGCGGTGACAAGTAAAGGAAATCTCTAATCCTATCTGGTCTCGCCTACTGGTCGTGATCCCCAGACGGAGAACGTTAAACCCAAACTGTACATAGTTTGTAATCTGAGTCAAAATGGGGATCGGCGTTCAGTTGTCAAATATAGATGTTCGGATACGTAACTGTGAGTTCTCGTCCCATAACTTCACATCCACAATGAAGTCGTCACGCTACTCGAACTCCCACCGAGCATTCCAAGCATCCTCCTGACTAGCTCTAATTGGTGAATGTCAGTTCGGGGACAATAAACGAATGAACCGTGCGGGCAGATTCGTCGCAAAAAACAAGCCAAAATCAATCAAAAGATAAAGCGGCACGCTAAACAGTTGAGGATCACAGTAACTTTTAGTCCTGGAGCATCACATGAAATCCATGAACGCAGCGAAACCCTGGAGACCTGTTTCTTTATAATGTACTGCTCATAAGGTTGCTGAGAATCCGTCGACAGCCCACGACCGGTTTCGCCCTTTTTGGGGCTCATCAGGTAGGCGCTGTCCCCGGGTTTCCGTCAACTTTATGTTCCACTTGAAACCAAATTGCATGAAATTAGCGAATATACACTCATTTGCAAACTAATATGGTTTTTCCGAGAGACTTACCTGGAACCCAGCTGAATCTCTCGCTCGTGATATTCCAGGCAACTGAATATGCTGCACCAGGCCGCCTCATGTTTCAGTCGCTACGGTATTTGAAATATCGCGATACATGTATATCTTTGTAATGTACTACTCATAAGGGTGCTGAAAGTCCATCGACAGCCCACGACCGGTTTCGCCCTTCTTGGGGCTCATCAGGTAGGCGCAGTCCGCGGGTTTCCGTCAACCTTATGTTCCACTTGAAACCAAATTGCACGAAATTAGCGAATATACACTCATCTGAGAACATCATAAACGAGAGATTCAGCTGGGTTCCAGATGAGTCTCTCGAAAGAACCAAATTAGTTTGCAAATGAGTGTATATTCGCTAACCTGTTTCTTTACTATGCGGAGGGGGATCCTTCGAATACGAGAAACTCTGATGTTTAGTGTCGTGGTTAAGCGATCGCGACAAGTTACGGTAGTGGCCGGCTCCAGTGGGAATAACTTTCATCATGGATAGAACGGGAAGGACTGTATAATCATAGAGTAAAACGAAAAACTATACGAATCGGGACCAAAATTCAGGGTTCCGTTCTCTTTCATTCGGTAAGGGTCTTCATCAAAGAGATGTCTTCCTCGTTCAAGCATTACCACGGTAGACGGGATGCACAGAAGGACTAAAGATTGGGCATCAGATCATTTTCTGCCAATCAGGTATCTTCTAGGGTAGCCTATAATTAAGCGACATTCAAATAAAGAAGTAGATGAAGGATAAGCATCCTGAGAACCCGACCTAACCAACTAATCCTGTGTTGATGTTTCGGGTCCGCTAGGGCGAATAAGTGCCGTCGGCCCTCAACGTTTCAGACAATCCCCCGAAAACTAGTTACATTTGGCATCTACTGATGATCAGTAGCGGATCAAAGTTGAGTGTCTTCTCCGCATGGTGTTTACATTTCACTGCTTTGGAGTTGCACAAACTGCACAGAATAAACTTATCGATTTAATCGGTCGCTGATGTGACAGTGGCACAGTCGGTAGTGTAGGTTTGCAGACGCATCGTGGGCCAGAACAGTTCTACTGATCACCTCATTACAAACATTACCTGTGCTGAAACAGCCTCAGGCACGTGAACCTCTCGAGCACCTTAAATGTGCAACCATCAAAACTTACCTATGAGACGACTTATTCAATTCAGTAAGGCGAATTCGCACTCGACGGATCGAATTCCGGATAGAAATAACAAGACTACCAAGACGGCCCTCTGTAGCTTGAGAAATTCGTATGCCCATACGATTGGAGGACCCCAGTCAGCACATGATCGAACAAGAAAATAAACAGGAATACTGACAACGGACGTTCCTGTGTTATCACATGGAGAAAGTGGATCAACGCACGGATGACGGGATTTGTAGAGTTTAGATTCACACAGTTCACATTTGGACATTCCTGCTCCCACCCTAACGGANCCCACCCCAACGGATACAATGGCTTGATTCCTGCTTCCACTCTCCATACTGACTTGATTCGGAATATAACTTTCTTGTTGCTCGCAACCCATTACTTGTTAAATGGAACCAACCGGGCGAATAACGATGGCTGTCCACAAGTGTGACACAATGACGATTAGCACAAATTAGATGAAAGGCTGATTCCCAAGCACTATTGGCAACACTTGTAAATGAGGCTACGAACTGCATCAACTGTCTACTGTGAAGGCATCTCCGCGAATGAGAAGGGATTATTATGTTCACGCACCACAGTTTTATCAAGCTTTTGCCATTCGACTGCTCATACGCACATTGTGACACAGAATGGGATGTTCCTTCTGGTTATGTACTGAACTAATCACTTTGGTGGATTATGGCGAACATTGAAGAGGAAGCTGATTAAATGTCAACTTTAATGGAGTGTCTCAAAACACAGTGGGACGTTCAAAAAAGAGGCAATAGTGATCACTCTTAGGAATAAAAATTTAAAATCATAAACTCTAGTAAGAAGCTAGGGAAAAGTTTTGCTGCAATTCAAAGTCATGCCAAGGAACTGGGAATGTCTCGGCAGGAAATCGTGTTGAGCAACAGCTTAATCAACTTTGCCGGTCCCCTTTCGGACCACTCGACAACAGCAAGGAATATGACTTAGTCACTTGAAGTTTCCAGACTCTATTTATGGCCCTAGTCAGGGAGATAGCTGCCGGGATTTTTCCAGTCTTTTCTGCACACCGCTTCAACAGAATCGGAAAAAAGAACTTGGACTGACCCTACTTAATCCAAATTCAGTGCTCTGTAGGGTATGCTCTGCAGCATTAGACCAAAGAATACAGATGAACAAATAAACATACCCAGAATAATAACACACTGCTCCTGCAGTAGCGTTTCCACCACCAGCGGGAACGACACCAATAGGAATGTTGAAATCGGACTGTGGGCGACTAGCCAGACCATTGATCACTTCGAATAACAGACCGTCACCGGAAACTGTCACGAGCGCACGGTAGCTGGATAAATCAGCGTCAGATCGGGTCTTTACCCATTGTTCAACATCGCCAGCGTGTTCTACGATAGGATGTGAAAAAGACACGACAATTTGTAACAGAAAGGCCTAATTCCCATAAAACTAACCGCATATACCACGGAACAACTCGGAAATCTTTATGGATGAATGATGACATCAAATGCTTCTGTTTGTTCGATATGCTAGGGAGTACGATAGTTCTGATGCAGTACCGTCATCGGCAGTCAGGGTCACCAACCAGTAATTTGTTTTCTCCTGGGGACCTCCAACAGGGAAGACGGCAGTTGCGAATGTGACTGGACTGACTAGTTGGGGTTCCTGCGTTTCGTTGCCATGTCACGAACTGACCGTCTGTGTCAACTCTGTCCGAAAGAGGGCTCTGCGCGGTAAATGGTCTACTCAGAGTGATCTATGGAATGAGACCAGCTTGTCAGTCGACGGAGACTTGTCTTGCCTGAAAACCACCTGGTGTAACCAGTAATACTGATCCGACGGTCCCACTAGACCCGCACAATGCTTCGGAGGCACTGATGGCCATACACAGAAGAGCTTCCGCAGGTAGCGGTCAAGTCTCTGGTTTAAAAATTCAGACAGACTGGACCGCGGCGTTGTGCACTAATTTCGACAATCAGGCTGTCAATTCGGCACCAGAAACGTCGGAGATCGGCAAACCCTGTCCTGTCCCTCATAACTCGAGAAGCGAGTTCGTAGTTCGCCAGTCCGCCGGGACTTATGCAGCTTCCCAGATAGGCGAACTTATCTACCAAATCGATCGGTTCACCGGTCAGTATGAGATTTGGATTTGATTCAATCTAATTATGAAGTAGTATTCTACGCTTTATAGATGCGTAGCCTATGCTGAACTATGCAGCGGAATTGTTAGGGTTATTTGGACTATTGAATGTAGAAATTCTTGACAAAAGGATGTCCTCGGTAAATGAAGCGTTGGATAACAACATCTAATTCTACTACGCTGTAATTTGACGGTAATAGCTTCCTTGTTATCTGAAAAAGCCTGCATTTCCAAAGGAACCAAGTCAAGAGGAGCAATATCGTCAGTGTATTCAATGCTCATGAGTGAAAGGCCCGAGAGTATTTCAATCGCGGTTGTTCATAAACCGATCAGGCCTCCTATGACAGTTAAGTATCAGTGTGTGTCACAAATGTATTTCTGTTAATGGTGACAATGAAAATGTAGAGGCACGTAGAGGAGACCAAAGAACGAATGGCGACGGACAGCATGTTGCAGAAACACAATAACTGTTACGCAACAAATACACTCATCTGCACATCGATTTGGTCCTCACGAGAGACTAAGCTGAATCTCTCGTTTATGATGTCCTTCAACAGAAAGTGCTGCACAAAGACCGCCTCATGTTCCAGTTAGTACGATATTCGAGATAGCGCAGTCTGACTTCAAAAAGGAGGCTACTCATAAGGTCGCTGAAAACTCTTTGAAAGCCCAAGACATGAGACGGTCGTGTGAGAATCACTTGATGTGAAAATGAGTGTATTAGTCGAAATTGGTCCAAATTGTTCACGTAGAACACAAATTTGACGAAAACTAGGGGACTGCGCCTATCTGCTGAGCGTCCAGCAGGGTGAAACCGGTCGTGGGCTGTCCAAGAGTTTTCAGCAAACTTGTGAGTAGTTTCCTTTAGGAAGGCTGTTACGTGGCTTATTACAGTTGGTTTAGGGCGTTTTTTCGCACAAACCGACACAAAACAGCCCAAAATTGGTAGTGTTGAGGTATCAGCTAGATTGTGGTGATCAACACCCACCCAATCCACCATTTTTGTAACGTGCTTCTATTCGTTATTACAAATTAGTCTGTTTGTTGTGACATCGCACTAATAATCTACCTCCGCAGTTCGAGTCCACAGAGTAACAGAACCCGATGTTTGATCGATTGCGTGAGTCCAGATGAATACAAATGCAAAATTATACTATGCCGACACTTTGATCGCTCAGGTGATGAGTAAAAACAAAACAAATGCTCGGTTTTCAGAACCTGTTCACGTGGTGGATTTTAGAACTTATTTGTGAATGAGACTTAGTTGAAATTCTCTTTTATTGTTATCTATACTTGAATGGTAATCCAACAGCACAGTAAGAGAACTAAAGTGAATAGCTAGACACCAACCGAAGCGGGGACGACGTACGAGTGCGAGAACCAACCGAGACATAAAACAACCCAAGCCGATCTTATAGATAGCACATTAACAGGCAGCAAGTATGTGAACGGCTCTACGCTGATAAATCATTCAGCTGGAAGACGGGTGCACAATCGAAACTGTAGCGCTAAAACAAAGAGCCGCGTGCAATAAATCTCGTCTGAGTTTGTACACGGTGGCGCACAAGGGGGTACAACAGAAACCAAGAGGTATTTAAACAATACCGACAACAGCAGTTGGCTTAGTCGCTCCAGGAAGCGGAAACTTTATTAAGAGTGGAAGATGGAGTATTGCTCAGCCGGTTAAGTGATTAAGCACCAGAAAAGTGAGGAAGATACTCCAAATTGATGGCGGGAACAAGCATTTTGATGAAAGGTGCTACCTTCAAGAGTTTGTATTACATCAAAGTGAACCGGTTGGCAGAGCAAACTATACAAAACACACGATGAACGTATCCTAACGTCCGAATAAAAAGATCGGAGCATGGTTATCACCAAAAATAGTCATGGTTTTTGGTTTGGAAGAAGCTCTAGTTCGGAACATTTCAAATACTAATGGGCAACGTAGGCACTATGGCACAAATAATAGAAAAAGATTGACTTAATGTGATCCCCATGCTAGAGATACCGAAGAAAACAGTTTCTACGAAGGCAACCACCACTTTGGTCAAGAGCACTGTAAATTTGAAATGCCTGATCTCCACGAACGAAAAAAGCCATTTTTTGAACCACATGAGACGAAATAAAATGCGCTCTACGAAAGTTGCACAAACTAAACGTAGTTTTTGGTACTTGGGCTCTACATGTGGCAAACTTCAGAAAGGTGCAAACTACGAGGTGAAAAACGAACGGCTTAGCAGAAGGGTGTGGAAGAAATTGCAGAGTTTAAGTGTTGTTGGCGGAGGATGGAATCACCGCAAATCATCGGTACCCGGCTGCAAAGTTGCAGGAAATGGCAGCTAATCAATGTTGGATAGATTAGTGATTTCACTATCTTTCTAGATTGTCTGATTGGGATGTTGGTGCTGTAGCGGACTTAGAATGTTTACGATTGGCCAGCACCACTATTTTTGTTCCTTTCATTTTAACCTTTGTTTCTAATCAAGTGAAATCCGATCTGGTTATCCAATCCCAAATCTATCAAACTGACACCATGTAGGTTGCAATATCTGCCGCAGTATGCATCTGAGGGCGTGAAATGTGTGGACGATTCACACCTAGTTGGTGTGCACAGATGCATTCACTGATGCTGATCACTGACGAGCGTAGTTTAGACTTTAAAACCCATGTGCACCATTTCTCAGCCATGTAGTTGGGTTGCGCACGTCGGCTGAACAAGAAAACCATCAGACTCGCATAAAAATGAAAGCAGTGGACCGTTGAATGGAAGCACAACGCACAAGAGAGGTGGTGACAGCTTGGTCAAAATCAGGTACCCATTGCAGCCGCGGGGTGTGTAGCATAAAAACCATTCGATGCGTTTTAGAGTAGGACGCCAATCACAATAATGTGAGATTTACGCGAGGGATGTGTGATTCGGATGACGAAGTCCTGCTGCACGCCCACGCACGTGCATCAGATTATGGCGGCGGCGAACTCCATAATACATCCGAATAAAGGTTGTACTCAAATGGTTTGGCGAAGAGGCCTAGAAAATGGCGTTTAGGTAGAAGATCAAACAAAATGATATGAGATGAATATACGCGAGGAGATTCCAAAGCCGCGAAATAATGGTAGTGTGAGTTGATGTCCCTAAGAATTTCTATTTCTATTTGTTGCTCTGCCCAAATTCAGCTTTTGCATGATTCTGTATTAAGGGAGTGGGAAGCTATTTTAAGGTTAAATTTGAAAGCATAAAAGTATTCATTTTAATGACCTCAACTAAAATATTAACAAACTTTGAGTCATGGTGCTCAAATAAAGCAAGTGAACTCGAAAAAGTTAGTGTATTTTAGAAGTTGGGAAAATTAGACAGTGTCATGTAACTTTAATTAGATTGGACGAGAGTTCATCATCAAAGTGACGATTGGAGTCTTCTAATGTTAAAACAACGAAACGCATTCCGATTTCTTAGGTGATTCTGAATGTAAGGTGTTGTGGCTCGCTGAACGATCGTGCAACTCTGTGTCGGTCCTCGGCTTCCTGCTCCGCCCACTATCGTATATCAAAAGGCATTGTAGCTTCAGATAGTCCTTTATGGTGAAAAACGAAGATTATTATAACTGTATTTATAAGGTAATCACAGAATGTTCCACAAGATCGTGCTAGAATCTCCGTGAAGGGGCGAGAAGCGTCGGGCTAAAGATGCTCGATCCAGATTGGCTGCATTCTGACCAATCAGGGCATGCATTCGTTTGGTCCGTAGCCCGCACGTGACACACGTCCAGTTGACGTGCTGTTCGAATATTGGGGGCGACTGGCCTCCGGAAATATATCAATCCGAAATGCATAGAGTTAGTGAACATCGATTCGGCACTTTTACGGTAGACTACCTAAAATTACCGAGTATTACACTGGTCTGAGCGACACGACACCAGGTCAGGTTGAAGGTAATGAAAGCACGGATAGGGACGAAAATATAAACGAGCGGATAGGCCTGAAGTCTTGCCGACAAGTCAGCTGATAATGACGTGTAAAACGACAAGCCGTTGAGTGAAACAGCAACCAGATAAAGTCTTTCTATCGTTCTTACTAGAGACACCGGAATAGGTGTTTAAATGAGCTACGAAGCTCGTGTCTCAAAACTCCAAAATTATGGCTTCGGCCGTCGACAGAACCTGTTTACGGAGTCCTTTCTGTGACTGAAATTAAATAAGTGAATTAATTTCCTGTACACTTAGGCGTTTGCCGGACGCGGTTTTTTCGAAA